TGGTTGTGATTTGAAATTTTGTCTATTGATGTGTTTTCCGGCACGTCCGACAGATCTGGAAAAGTCGATGGAAATCATTCGATTTCTGGTTATTCAAGGCTGATCATGATATTGGGGTGGTTTATTTTGTTGGGGTTTGAAATCGATTTGGTTGTGATTTGAGATTTTGTCTATTGATGTGTTTTCCGGCACGTCTTATAGATCTGGAAAAGTCGATGGAAATCATTCGATTTCAGGTTACTCAAGGCTGATCATGATATTGGGGTGGTTCCTTTTGTTGGGGTTTTTCCAGATTCCAGGGTGTTTCTGTTAAGATTTGATACTAGGATTTCTGTTTAGATTTGGGATTATGTAATATTTCTTTCGAAATTTTAGGTTGTTGGTCTTACGAAGCTTCGAGGTATTTCTGAGATTTGATAATAGTACCTCTGTTCAGATTTGAAATGTAATATTTCTCTTGAGATAGGACGTTAGGTCTTCTAAGTTTCAAGGTATTTCCATTGATATTTGATACTAATCCTCCCGTTCAGATTCCACATTATTCCTTCGAGATTCCAGAACATTCCCTCTGACATCTAACAAGACTATTCCTCTCCATCGTCACAAACTTCCCAAGAAATTAAAAATCTCCCACAAAACCTCGCTACACGCCAGACAATCGCAAACCTCACAGTAGAATCCCCGAAACCCGAACCGAAGCACGCGCCAAGAAACCTAATCAAACAATCAAATAATCAAATTACCCATACCCCATCGAATTACTCATAACCCTACGAATGCCACGCAATCAACGAAACAAATGAACAATTCTCACGAAGGGCCGATCGCCGAGTCAAAGAAAACACCATTTCCAACGAAGAAAGCAATTCCATCCGAGGAAAGCGGCTGAAAGAACGAACAATTCATTCGCCCAATCATCTCCCTTCACCTGAAACAATTCCTCCAGCGTCCGGCTCGGTGTGCTAGACCTATCCGAGCGGGAGGGGGTGGTCGGCAGCGCGGGGCCAATAAATATCGACGTCGGATCGGCCGGAGCAACGTTCGAGGGAGGTCTCTCGCGTTGGTCCGCGGCGCAGAGACTTACAACGCGTGCGTGTTCCAGAGTCGTAATCCAGCGCGGACTACTTGTTACCCTTCGCCACGTCTCTGATTTAACGCGGCCGCGGACGAATTAAATTTCGCGGGCCCCTGGGCCGTGGGCCCCGCGATTAGCCGCGCGGGACCGTGTACCACGGCCGGCCCGCCGCGGGGGTGCGACACCGAATTGTCCGGTCACGGGGTACCGTGTCCCCCGCGAGATTTATTCGTCAGTATCGCCGCGGGATCCGCGGGGAAAATCTGTCGATTCCAGGAACGAGACTCGAGAGGATTCCCGGAGGAAAGGTTCTGAAGAGAAAAAAAGATTCGAGGATTCTCGTTTGAGATTCTGCTACTCTTATTGTTTGGATTCTTGCGTCAAGAACTGACGGTTCTTTGTTTTAAGTGTTAAGGGACCGGAAGTTTTTCGCTGGAAATGTTTTAACTCTTTGCGCTTCGCAAGTTTTCACTGGAAATACTCGATATTTCCTAATCAACTGTAGGTGAGATTTTTCGAAATTGATTTGACAAGAAGTCGAGCATACGTTGAGGAAGGAAATTATTTTCTTTCAATATTTCATATTAATGCATGATGCGAAGTAGTGTATTTAACCTCAAACTTTACAATTTAGCTGTGTCAAATGATTGGCGACTGAGAGGCAAAGGGTTAACATTTTCTGACGAGATGAAGACGATATTTTGTGAAACTATCTCGACGAGGAATCACACGTACGTTGAGGAAAGATATTTTATTTCAATGTTTCTGAAATTTATGCATTGTACCTCTTGAGTCATCTCTCGAGTGCAAAGAGTTAAGCGTTGACATTAGAACTACCGAGCGTTTAAAACGCTTAATAAGTAACCCGTGTAAAAGTTGTAACAATAGATTATTTTCGGTTTCTTCAGACATTCGTTATAGAATTCAAGAGATTTATGTTATGTTGGAAGTTGAGAGAATATTCGTTAAAAGAGCTGAGTTTCAATCCTACGAGTGTTTATTCAACAGTTTCACAAATCACCTCAAGGAACCGAGAATGAACAACACTCCCTTGATCCTCATTCACTGCACTCGCTCCGATCAAACCCAGAGGACACTATCGCGCCCCGTAAATCATCAGGAAACGCATCGGCGTGCCAAACAAAACGAACGATCGAAGGGAATCGTCGAAAATCCGGCGGGTTTAATGGTGCCCAAAGAGAGAACACGAAAAGTGGATCCCCCGCGCGAGAGGCGCAAGCCGCTCTCGGAGCGGATCGACGCGGCTAAAAGGCGGGAGTAGTCTCGTTATTCTCGCTCTATCGACGATTAGCCGTGGAAGCATGGTTTTCGTCGTTCGACGGAAAGAGGAAACGGGGGGGAGGGCGGCCCTTGGGCCCCGGGGACGATCGGAATAAAAGGATGCCTTATGGTTATGGCCGCGGAGCGGTGTGTCCCGAACGGAACGATCGGTGGAAGGAGAAAACGCGCGGCGAGACAAGACGTGGCTGCGTGGGTTCCGCCGCGGCTTAAGTGACCGCGAGGGCTGTCGGGTACGGCCCACACCGTGGTGGCTTTCGGTCCCGGGTTCCCTCTTGTTTTACGGCCGATGATACGTGCTTTATTGTATCGTCTTTTAATTATCAGCGCGCGCACCTACAACGCCACGGCATTCGGTTACTTATTGCCATTGGCCGATTTAATGCTCGCGCGCCTTCGGTGCCGATCCACCGGCACCCTTTTGATAGTAAACTACTCCTTTCAGCCAAGCGCGGACCCGCTCCCCCATTTCTTTTTCCCCTCTTTTTCTCTCGGCCGCGCCGCCTCCCACCGCCTCGTTCCCATTTTATCCACGGTTTCCCTGTCGCCTCCGCCTCCCTCCGCCCCCCCCGAGATCTCACGGGCGACCGATCGGCCGGGCCTCGTGTCCTTCTTCGTCGAAACCCATTACAATTATCTACGGCCCAGGGCCGAAGGGGGCCATCCGGCGCGTTCCTTGAAGCTCTCCGGAGATTTCGCGAGGGAGGATCGACCGGAGCGTGATAAGTGTCCGAAAAACGCGTCCGAGAGCGGTCCAGGAAGTCGCGGAAAGGGACGGGGGCCCGACGGCCGAATCGCGGCGCATCGGATTCCGGGAAGGAGGCCGAGATAGCGGCGCGTCTCATTAAATCAGAACTGCATTCCACGGGCGTGTACACTCCCACGGGCGTTCGATGGGGTTCTACTTCGATCAACCCGCGGCCACCACAGCCGGGAGAGATGTTCGCCGGGCCCCCACGACACGCTGCGAGACACGGATTTCGTCTCCACCCCTCCGCGCCGCAGTGGGGTACAACCGTTCATGGGACTACCTTGTTGCTACGGTGAAATTTATACGTCTAACTCGTGTCTTTCGCAAATTTAGGGGCGACGCTAATTCCAGGCCACGCACCTACTCGTTCGGTGACGGGAGATCGGTTGGGGATCGCAAGATCGTGCTCGAGACGATTGAGTTTCGTTGGATTTAGGGGTTTGGTTGATGTTAGTGGGTGATGGAGGGAAACTTTGTGGTACTGCGGGTGGTTAAAAATATTGCTCTTGTGGAACTGTAGGTGATTAACCCCTTGTACAATGACGAGGGAGACTCGTGATGAAGATTTCTAAAGTAATTTAACAGGAATCGATGTTGTTCATTACCCACGGATCAAAGCAAAGTGTTGTGCTGTTATCATTGTATTATCTTCAAATGAAATTTCCGCCTGAAGTATGGTGAATGTGTTAAGAATATTGAAAAGTTTCGTCATTTTCGGTGTACGTGGCGATTGAATTCCTAGCGTATGGTACGGTTGTGTCTCAAAGTCTGTAGTCAGAGGGTTAATTAACCCTTTGCACTCGATAGATGACTCTCAGTTACTTGATTTGTCGCTATGAAATCTATGAAATCTGATATTTAACGTAGAACTTTGTTTAATGCCTCAATACGTGAAAAATTGGAACAAAATCTTCGACTTAATTCCAAAGAATGTCGTCTTCGTCTCGAAGATGTCGATCTTCGTCTGAAGAAATATTAAATATTTCTATTGAGAAACTTCCGAGTGCAAAGGGTCAATTTACGAACGTCGGATCGATCGTTGACAATGACTTGCTAGTTCTTTTTCATTTAATTCGATACTAGATTGTAGGATAACCGAAGAAGCTAACAGGCACCAGAGTGTCTTCGAGATTCAACGAGTTAAGAAGCCTCCATTAAGAACGATTCCTCGACTGTTTATTACTATTCCTAAAGGCCCGTTTGTGTGCAAATCCGAGGACTCGTATATTCGAAATGAATTCTAAAGAGGCTCATACTCGAAGCTGAAAGAGAGATCCACGGTCTACAATGGAACGCTAAATATAGAGGATCCCCGTGCATCATAATGGATTCTATTCTCCGAATCGAGCAATCAGCGCAGGCAACAAGTTCCTCAATCGGAGTCAGGCGGCCAACATCCGTTGAACTTCCCCACGCGTCTCGAGGCGAGGATTTCGAAGCCTCTAATTGGAATATCCAATTAACGCGGCCCGCGCAGGGACAATCGGCGAATCGATTAGAAATCACCGCGATTATGACGCTCCGATGCGTCGGACCCGGGCCGGGAGACAGGCCCAGATAGCGCCGTGCTGCCCGTGGAACAAGATTCTTATCTGGACCCATCTTTCATTATTAAAATGAAACTAAATACCGAAGACGCGAGTCTAACGACCGAACCGCTCGGCCAGTGGTGCTCCTCGCGAGGATTCCTCCCTTCACTCTAGACGAAACTCTAAAATTCAATTACTTCCATAATAAAAATTACAGCTTACTGTTGCTAAATAATCCCTGCTACACAAAATGTTCAAAACTAACAAATTTCTGCAACTCATATTCTCCAAACGAATCGAAATCTTCATTGTCACTGGAAAAACTTCATATCTTCATACTAAAGAAACATAATTACACTTTCTTCTGAAGCCCTTTTGCACTCATATTATTTAACACAAACTACCAGTCAAATTGACTTTAACCCTTTGCACTCGACCATATTTTTCATTAGAAACATTCATTGTTTCCCGACAAAATACTAACAATATTATTTACTTACATAAAGAAACATCTTGCATAAATTATGGGGCAGAGTTTTATTTCTGTTTCATTTGTTAATACCTGATTCAACATTTTATATTGAATTTCTCAGTTTAAATTTCGTTCCGTTCAAATGGCGACTGAGAGTCGCCCCTCTAGTGCTAAGGGTTAAATCATTCATAATTCAGTCTACACTGAATCAATCTATTTATTAAGCTCCTAAAGAATCATCACTTATATTTCCAATAATTGTAAAAAAAACCTATCCATTCCTATCCAGTAGGTTCAGTCAGCGAGTTTCGTGCAGAAAAAGCGTTCGGCTGGCAGGAACGAAGCTACACATTGTTCGCCGATCGTCAGACTGTTCAGACTCTTATTAATTAGCGGATCTGCCGATCGGTCTAATAATAACAGGCAATTATTCGCGGAGGATCGCGGCGAGTCAAACGGGACGCGGAATCGGAATCAATTACCCCCGGCGTCGGCGGCGAGTTTTTCCCCGATATATGAGAAATCGAGAACAATCCGCTCCTACGAATCACGAGATCCGAATCAACGGGTATGCCCGAGAACGGGGCGCCGTGACTCGTCGTTCGCATGCAAATTGCTTATCAGATACAACCGCGCGGGAGTCGATAACCCTGAATAGAATGAACGGGGGCCTCTCGGGTAATCTGATCGGGCCGAGTCGCGGGAAATCGCGGGAGTATCTTCCCGCGATCGATCGCGGCTCGCTCGCGCGATTAGACGCGGATCGTGCAACGAGAGTAGAAAAAGATGAAGGGTTGAGAACGAGCCGACCGTTCGAACCCGGGGATAATAAGCCTGCCGATGTTTCTGGCTCGTTCTGCGCGGGGTTTGTGCATCGAACGACGACAGATCTCATAGGAAGATGCGTTCTTCGTTGTAACTAAGACTCTGATGATTAAGAGTCCCTCAGTCGATCGATTCGACGCAGAGAGATAAAATTTGATATTTAACAGTGGAACTACCGAGGATTTAATACGATATATAATCGCTATAAAAATTCTAATAGGTTTTCGGTTTCATCAGACATTCGTTAGTATTCAAGTGACAGCTATTTATTTTCAAGACCATTCCGAATATTCAATGCTTTGAGATATCAATAATATGCAATTCCTATGAAAACTGTAACAATAGATTTTCGGTTTCTTCAGACATTCGTTAGTATTCAAGTGAAAGCTATTTATTTTCAAGACCATTTCGAATATCCAATGCTTTGAGATATCAATAATTGAAACAAAACCGAAACCAGTCATTTTGACTGTAGTTCTAGTGTTAATATTGCATGATGCATCTGTGTGAAATATTCTGATAAAGCTCTTCTCAATTTACCTGTGACTGAGTTAATTTCAAGAAATATCGTCTTCTAGTTAGAAAATTATAAGTGCTTAATGAAATACTTCAGTGCAAAGGGTTGACAGTCTAACAGTCTAAATACAGGAATATATCTAATCTCAAATATTCAACGCGAAGACAATCTACCAGTTCTCAAAACTGCTCGGAGCTCAATGAAAATCGATCGATCCTTATTCTACTACTCAGACGAATTCCCAGTTTCACGAGAATCTCGACGAATCCTGCACCATGCGTGTTAACCCTTTGCACTCGAAGATTTTTCAATAGAAATATCCAACACCTTTTGACAAGATACAGGTGATATCGTTTGAAACTAATTTAACGATAACTCATAGACAAATTAAGCGACAAAGGTATTCTATTCCGATATTTCACGTAACAACGCGAAGTTTCATTTGAAATATCAAATATTCAACTGCATAGTTTCGTTGTATCGAGTCAAGTGACTGAGAGTCACCTGTCGAGTGCGAAGGGTTAAAGCGGAAAACGGATCACGCTCGCGACGATAGCAGCTTGCCAGAGCGCCGAGCAGGGGTGGCTCGGGGGACGCGAGCAGAAAAGTTTCCGCGGCTGACGGACAGGTGTTTTGACAACCGCTGCGGCGAGTTTCTCGGGGCCCGGCCGATAGGGAAGACGAGAATCCGAGGAACGTCGTGCAACGCTCGGCCCGAGATGATCGATGAGAGGGTCTGACCTACCGGCCGTGCCGGGGGAACTCATCTTTAAACGCGGTGTGCCCGTCCGGTCGATTCGATATAATTATTTTACGCGATGCTCCGCGCGGCGCGGCGCGGCGCGGAACGCTCGGGCAGGAGGGGGAAGAGCGGAACATCGTTTCGACTTTCGGCACACGTCAAATCCACCGTCACGGTCCGGCTGCACCCTAATTGATCGAGCGATCGTTCACGTGGCCGCGTGTCGACGCCTAGATCGCTGTCCCCTTTCCGCCGGACCTCTTTATTCGTCTACCACCGTCGTACTTTATTCCTTTCGGTTTTGCTCCATTTGTCGCCGGTTTTATTCTGTTTCTGTCCGCCTTCGTTCGTTTCTCTTGCTTCCTGCTTTTTGTTGGATGTTTTTACCTCGATTCGGTTCTGCGCGATTTTGTTTCGTGTTTCGTAGTTTGTGGTGTTTGATGTTGTTTGGTGTTGTTTGATGTTGTTTTATAGTATTTACTGTTACTTGTGAATATTGTCTATTATTTCCTAGGATCTCTCACTATTTATTACTATTTCCTCGTATCGACCCTTAACACGTTCACTGCCATGAGAATTTTAGGCATTCTATACAGTATTCCTTATTCTTTTATAACAATGACAAATCTTGTAGTAACCCATTCACTAATGAAATGTGTGATTTCATTTTTACTTTCAATTTATTTCGCTTTATATTACGATACGGTACTGCCAAAAGTCAACACGTTGACTGCCACGGAGCTTTCAAATTGCTTGAAAACGATTACAATAGGATTGACATTGAATCAAAATATTTAGCAACGCAAGAAGCTAGACAATACTGTAACACGAAAACTGTAACACTTATTAATAATTATATTTAATCCTATTTCCCTCTAATCAAGGAATAAATCTTGCTATAACGCTCGAAATTCTCGTGGCAGTGAACGCGTTAAGGCCACCGACTCGAAAGCTCACCTTCGTCCTTCTCGTTGTCGTCGTCGAGGTCCTCGGACAGATTATCGTCCTCCTCCTCGTCGTCCTGCGATCGGTGCGACGCCTCCGCCTCGCTTCCGGAGTGCTCGCCCACGCTTCCGCTTCCCGCCGTCTTGGACAGGTTCAGCACGGGACTGTGACCGTTCGACGAACCTGGAACGAACAACCGAAATCGGAACGTCAATCGATATATATCGTTCCTCCGGCGATACACTACGAGGTACGACGATATTTCTGGGAAACGGGGACGGGACGGTTTTGATGGATTTTATTTGCCTGTTTGCACGGGAACCGGACTATCTACTCCGAGCGATGATGTTCGATCCCTTTTCCCCGAGTATTTGATATCCTAGCATTTTAATCCTGACGTGGATAGATACTGTTTGGACGGCGACGCGACGCCGCGACGCGTGTAATCGGCCGGACGCGGCTCTATCGGGACTATTGGCTCGATGGAACGTCGAATGCGCACCGCGGCGTCTCTGCGCGCGAGGGAATCGAACGTGACTTTCGCGGAACCGAGGAGAAGTGTGTTGATACTGTGGGTTCAGGAATATTGATGGAATACTGGTGAGAATGTTTGTGGTGAAGTAATGTAGGACTTTTGCTTTGTATTGCGAGGGATGATTGAATGACTGAATGTTTGGAGGTATAACCCAGTTAGAATCTTAAAGAAACTACCCTAAAATTCTTAGATTTTCCACACATCCAAGTTTGGTGAATTCAGGAATACTGATGAAAATATTTGTAGTAAAGTAATGTAGGACTTTTGTTTTGTATTGCAAGGGATGATTGAATGACTGAATATTTTTATATAATAAATATTTGAATGAATCTTAAAAAAATTACTATAAAATTATTAGATTTTCCATACATCCAAGTTTTGCACTGAGAAGGAAAATAGATCGAAGAAAGTTCTAAGGGTTAATAGTGGAATATTGATGATTATTAGATTAATATAGTATTCCTTTATTTTCTTTGTAAGGAATGATCGAACGTTCACATTTCGAAATTTTGTAATCTCTGGATCATAGGATCCTCAAATTTTTCTATCATTCAACGTTCAAACAGTCGAAGCTCCAAATCTTCGATTCTTCAGCTCAAATTCCATAAATTAATTATATTTCCAATGACACCGATATTAACATCCAATCAATATCTCGTTCGACGTAAAACTACATCTATCAGCAAAGCAAACAGTACCATCAGTTCCACGGCAAAAACAATCATCAATCAATTCCAATTGCGCGCCATCAATAGCCAGCAATTATACATTATCAGTCATCGATCGAGCCATCGCAATACATTCGGCCGAGCGTGAAACGGCGGGATTCCATCGGTAACCGGGCACGTCGATTCCGTGGGGCCTGCGATCGGAACACGTTCGGATTCGAGAACTCGAAACGTCCAGTTTGTCGCCGGCCGGGACGGGGCCCGGGCCCCGGGCCCGCGCGCGGATCCTCGCCACCAGCAGGATAAAAGGTTCGATCGGACGGATTAAAATATTACGGGGAATCAGAAGAAAGGCGGTGCCGCGTAACCCGATATCGGACTTAATCTCTCCGGGGCCCTTCCTAAACGCTCGGCCGGGGCCAGCAACGAGAAATAAAGAAACGCGGCCGGGCGGGAGGGGTCCCCCGAGCGGTTAGCTCGTCGACGACGCGATACGGAATCCTTCTGCATCGCTTGGCTTCGACTTTAACGCGATCTGGATGGAACCCCTGCGATCCACGGTCGGGGAATATAAGATCGAGTTGTTGGCTCCTAAGAAGGGATATTCGAGTGTTTGCCACTTTATAAATGAAATTTCTGGTTACTTGTTCTATTATTATCAATTATTCTATAAATGGCGTTCTCATTAGCTGTTCTAATGTAAGTTTAAGAAAGGATGGTAGGATTTTCTCATGGAAAATTTATAGAATGGAGGATCTTCGAGTGTTTGTTACTTTATAAATGAAAGTTCTGATTGTCTGTTCTATTACTATTAATTCTTTTGTAAATGGCGTTCTCATTAGCTGCTCTAATGTAATTTTGAGAGAAGATGATAGGATTTTCTTAAAAAAAATTCATAGAACGAAGGATCATAGAATGAACGAGTTACTTTGATGAATCCTATAGCTGTATAGACAAACTTTTAATTTTATTTAATAAATATACTAATAAATACACTAATCTCACTCTAAAAACCACGAGTATCACGAGTTCCAATGCAACAGCAATGAAAGAATCGCATGAAAATTTCCTTGCTCCTCGAATAACCGATTTCCCCGAAAACTAAATCAATCACAGAGTGAAATCTCCCAAAAGGGGTGAACATCCCCAGAAACCAACCTCTGGAAGCTCCCGAATTCCCGGTAGAATTCCTTCGAATTCCCTATAAAACCGATACCGTAACGTCGATCGATTCGAAGTGGGACGACGCTCGATCGACGACTGTAATGGCATCCATCCCCGCTGAGAACGATCGTTCGAAGAAGATCGCCGGCGATCTAGCGACGGCCTCGAGTCACGAGAACAGCGCAGCAGAAGGATGGACGCATCGTTCGCGTAATAGTACTCGGGCCCCATAATACCGCGCCGCGTTATTCGCGGTATTATCGGCCGATTACAGTAATTACGGTAAACGAGCGTACGCGTATTTATCTTACCATTGTGCGAGCTCAGATCCCTGGGTTTCTGGTCCAATGCGAGCGCCCTCTCCGCGTCCCCTCTCTCCTCGCGGAGCCTGCAACCAGACAAACCACACACAGGAAACCTTTAGTATATTAATTCCGGCGGATTGAAATCGGCCGAGAGCGGAGGTGGACGCTCTCGGCGCGCAAGGGCATTAATTAAATAATTATTCTAGTCGCCGGGGACCGCGTGGGAAGATAAGTGGCGGTCTCGCGGCTCGCGGTAACATCCCCGTTCGTGACGACTTCGATCGATTCCACGTTTTTCCGTTTTCTCTTTGCCTTTTTCGCGAGACGTTCGTCTGTCAACGAATCATCCTGCTTTCTCTTTCTCTTTCGTTCCGCGACGGGGAATCAATTTAGATGGAAAGTTTGGTTAACCTTTTGGCTACCGTGCGACAGTATCTGCGTGTTTATTTTTCAATGATACTGGTATTTATAAATTCTGTCTAATCGATAGTTGTGTACGTGACAGTTTAATATAACGTAATTAAGTAACAGATGATTCTATCAGGCTCAAATCGCAGGGATGTATATGATATGCAGACTGGAATCATAACATCTGGGCTAGTCTCGGTGGAAGGTTAATCTATAAGTAATTATTAGAAAACCCGGAGAGTTTGAATGAATTTTCAAGCTAACAGTTGAAGTCTAGCTTTATCCTAAGTATTGACTCTTAACCCTTAGCACTCCAGGTTGTTTTGTAATCTATCAGCAACTGTAACTAATTTTTATAGCATTCTTAGCGAAAATGAGGAATGCTATAAACGCAAAAAATGTAAAATTTGGATCTGTGGAAAATCGAATAATTTTAGGTTAGTTTCTTTAAGATTCATTGAAATATTTAATATTATAACTGATGCGATATTGGAGCCTAGAGTTCAAAGGGTTAATATTGAATCTACTTCTCATCTAACGAGACAAACGCAACCTTGCAGATAGCATAATAAACCGACAGAAAAATAGATTATAAATAAAACCAGAAGAAACGGTAGAAAACAGTAACATTAGAAATAACGATCATCTTCAAAAGATGAATCCCACTTTCACCCAATCAGTACGACTCCATTCCAAAGGACAATCCAAGCATCACCGAGTCACCTTTCCCTGCGACCATTCCTCCGGTCGCCGTCGTCTCGCGAACGAAGAAATAAATTCAGCGAAGGGTAAAGGTTGCGAGGGTACAACTGTCGGTTCCGTTCGGTTCTCGTTAAGAGACAATTCGAGGATCGTAACGACGACCGTTGGGCCGCGGCCCAGCCGTTCGCCGGCTTTAAATGGTCGCGCGGAACGAGGCGACGGGTCCTACCGGTCCCCTCGGCGCGCGAGAACTCCCGCAGCTCCGATATCTTCCCTCTCCCCCCCTCCTCTCCGCGTCCCGCGTTCCGACGGCGCGCTCGGCCGGGCTCTTTTATTTTCTTTCGGTTTCCTCGAATGTTCGGCTTTACGAGGGCCGGGCTCGTTAAGGTACACCAGCGAGGCTTTATGCTCCCGCGCCGCGAAACTTTTAATCTCGCCCCTATATTGTTCGGCCCTCGCCGGGGGCTTCGGGACGCGGCCATAGTCGCCAGCGAGAGCTCGGTAGCGCGCCGGGGATCGTTAAGATCGGAGGACCACGCGAATCGTTCGTGAGTGTTGCCGGCGTTCTCCTCTTTTCTTCTTCTTCGCGTCTCCAGGATATCGCGGGACGCGAAGCTCTCGGGAAACGGCGCAGATTCGGGGCGGGTCTGCGCTGTTGTGTTTGGATTCGAGATTTTTTAATGTAGATTGGAAGCGAGGCTATTGGGAGATAGAGGAAAAGAGGAAAATTAGATGAGTATGTATATGACGTGGAAAGAACGTTTTATCGTTTGTGCTTTCTTTTGTAACTTCCACCCCATTGACACGTTGTGTCAGTCATGGATGTAACATGCTTAACACGTCGAATGCCATGGGGGTCACCGGTGACCCCCACCAAATCGAGTTGCTATAGTTCACTCGATGAAACGACGATTATATGAAATTTCTATATTATAAATAATGCTACATGGTACAGTGACATTCAGCTAGATGAACGTGGAATAGCAACAATGCAATTCGATTGAATGATTTAATATATTTTTTCCATTTCAAGTATTTTGTACTATGACATCCTGCGGCATTCGACGTGTTAATAACGTAACTAACTTGATAGTTAAGGGTCGTAACGTCAGATAGTGAATACTTGCTGCTTTTCTTCGCTGAAGAATAACTTGTTAGGAAAATTAGATGATGTAGATTGCTTGTAAACATCTTTAGAGGAAAGGAGAACGTTTTATTGTTTGTGCTCGCTTTTGTAACTTCCACCCTATTAACGTTAAGCGTCAGTCACAGACGTAATATGCTTAATAACTAACTCGATAGAGTAATGCAAGGGTCGCAACGTCAAACAGTGAACTTCCTGCTTTCCTTCGTTAAAGAATAACTACAGGAAAATACGTTTCAACCCCTAATTCCCCAACCTCCCGCTTCCCATCCAGAGAAATAGAAATCTCCATAAAGAGAAACATCTCCATAAAGAACCGCAGTCCAATAAACACCAGAAGCCAACGTTCGCCCTAAGAGCCGTGAAATCGGTAGAGATTTATTAACCCCAAGGTCATCCGCGCATTTACGAATTTATCCCCGAAGAAGCCGCGTTAGGTTGGAAAAAGAGGAAGAAACGAGTGTTTCCCGGGCGATTAGGCTCTCCTACCAGGCTCGTTCCTTTCCACGTTCCGCAAATTATTCTCCCGGGTATACTTTTTCCGGGCAGGTCCCCGCGCGGGCGGGGGCGGGCGGCCTCTTCGCGCCTCGAATCGAACCGCGGACCATTAAGTAAGAAGTTAATATCATTAAACATAATATTGGGCGCATCTGGGAGCCGCAGAGCACTTACCGAGCCCGGGCCGCTCGTCTCCGCCGCAAACCACCCTCCGACTATCGCCGAGCCGCCCCCCGCGATCTCGTTGAGAACCGACCCCCCCGTCCGCCCCCGCCGCCGCTCAGGCCGTTTCCACCCGCGTCACGGCCCCCTCGAACCTTAATTTTTTAATGAGAAAATGCTTTCAAAGAGCCGGAGAGAAATACCGTGGCGCGTCCACGGGCGATAAGTTACGGCCCCGCTCGACCGGAGGAGGAGAGACCTCTCGATTTCTTCGTATCTTTCAACCCCCGAGCTTCTCTTTCGGGGGAATGACTTTTTCTTTGGTTTCCGGGGACCTGGGGGTAGGCTTGCTGATTTATTTGTTGTGGCGACTGCGGACGGAGGTGACTGAGTATTGAATATTTGTAGTTGTGGTTAGTTGGAAGGGTTGTTTGATGATTTGATGTGGGTGATTGGGAGAGTGGGAAGTTGGGGGATTTGGTAGTTGGAGGAGGGGGAATTTCCAAGTTGGAAAATTGGAAGATTGAAAAATTGGGAGTTTGCTAGTTGGAGAATGGGAGAATTTCCATATTGGAGAATTGGAAGATTGAAAAATTGGGAAGTTTGCTAGTTGGAGAATAGAAGAATTTCCATGTTGGAAAATTGAAAGGTTGGAAAATTGGCAAGTTTGCTAGTTGGAGAATAGAAGAATTTCCATGCTGGAAAATTGGGAAGGTTGCTAGTTGGAGAATGAGAAAATTTCCATATGGGAAAATTGGAGGTTTGAAAAATTGGGAAGTTTGCTGGTTGGAGAATGGGGAAATTTTCATGTTGGAAAATTGGAAGATTGAAAAATTGAGAAGTTTGCTAGTTGAAGAATGGGAGAATTTCCAAGTTTGAAAATTGGAAGATTGAAAAATTGGAAAATTATAAAACTAGAAATTCATAAAATCTCTCTAAGACGAAGCATCGCCAAAATACGAATCCCAACTACACTCCAACGATCATCGCCGAACTTCCAAATCATCCCCACCCTACGTCCCGAGGCAGAAGGGTTAAAAGACCCCAGAGCCTTTCGGAATCAACGAAAAGCATCTGCCCGAACCTCCGCCAGCAACGGACATAATAGAAGCAGCTCCTCGGCGAGCCTTCGATATCGTAACGACTTAATTTTCGGGCATAATTAAATTTTAATTGGTAATACGAGTCGATTAAGATGGCCGATGGGTATCTCGGTCCGCCTTCGTAGCCGGCCTCGCCCCCGACGATGCTTTACCCGCTGGACCGGCGAATTCGAGCGGCAACAGGGATACGCTCGGCGGATTCCTCCAAGATCGCCCATGCTTCGTGAACAAAAGCGAACGAGTAACAGACGAAGACGGAGTGATGGAGAAAGCTACGGGAAAGGGTTGACGATGCGGAGAGAGCTAAAGAAGACAAAGAGGGAGCAACACAGACAGAGATGAAGAGAGAGAAAGAAAGAGAGAGAGTAAGAGAGAGAGCATAAGAGAGTAAGAGGGAGAAGATGGTCGATTCGCTTAGACGTCGCCGTAACCAGGAACCCGGCTGGCGGGGTTATTAAATTTGTAATTAGTCGAATATTACGGCGAGCGTCGCTGCTCGTTCCGCGTGTACATCTTCACGGTTCCGGGCCGGGTAACGTTTGCGTGCCACGTTTACCCCCGTGCGTTTACCGACGCGTTTACCTGGCCTCCTCGCGTGAGTAGACACCTAGACCCACGCCGCACCGCGCCACCCTTTGCGCGCCGCGTTAATACATCATGGGATTTCATTACGCGCGCCCACGGTTCGCCCGCGCGCGGAAACGCTCGCCCCGATAGTCGCGAATAATTAGCGTCGTCTTGCAGCCACGGTTAACTCCCGCCCGGGGGTCGCAGCTTTCTTCGAAGGATTCTTCTAGGGTTGAGATCTTTGGGATTTCTTTTGTGAGATGGAGGAAGGCGTTTGAGGAGTTTAGTTGTGTGATTTGGTTGGTATTTGTATCTGTTCATCTATGCATAGTCTAGATCATAGACTCGTATTGAGATTCGAGTTGCATAGAAGCATCGAGAAAACAATTGAAGTTAATGTTCTAGCTTCTGAAATTATTATATATGTTAGGAAGCTATAAAAACTATAAAATTTAATATTATATTTCTTGCAATGCATCAGGTTGAGAAATATTCAAAT